TCGTAAGGGCTGCGTGAGCCAGCCAAATGCAACCAAACGGAGCCGGACGCACGGGCCCTAAGCCCGAGTTCACACGTGCTGTGAATGTTTCCTCTGCCCCTTAGGTGAATTGGTTTTTTTTTTTTTCTTTTTTTTTTTTCTTTTTTTTCATTCTCTTGCGGAGGGTGCAGTTGCTAACCTGAGTTAACAGGTGGTGGTGGCACCTCAGATTTACGCACCTGGCGACCAAAATAGGAAGGTGACTGTACGTTTTTGCAAAACCAAAAGCTCTTTTTCAAAATGAAGTGAATCGTGCTCAGGAAAATGCCTGGGTTCTAATGTCCTATTTCTAATACATGTGCAAGCACTGGGAGTTGCAGTACTGCTTCATTACATGCCACCAATGTGTGTCAACCCTAAAAGGAGGCTACCAACTCACTTCTTTGCAGATAGTGACTAGGGCTAGGTGAGTAAAGGAGAATTAATCAAGCATGTTAAAGTATAAATGCACTGATGGTTACTTAAAATTAAGGTTGTATTACGTCAATACAATGTGTTACAAGTTTAATGTGTCCAGACTCATTTTTGGTTTTCTCCACGGTGGGTTGAGTCTTTCCATAGTCTATTTTCAGGAATTTTGTCATGGGAGTTGAGTGGGGGCAAGAATAGAAAGCGCGTGGCAGTTTTTTCAGTGCTGCAGTAACTATGAACAAGCTAAACCTAGAAAAGCTCTCCTTAGATGTTCGTGTTGATTGAAAGGAAACCAGCCTCCTGATTAACAGTCTAGTAAATATAGATCTGTCCTTGACTACCTTTACTGTACAACTTGTATGTAGTCCTAGAAAGTAGTGTCTGTTGAATATGTCTTTCCTCGAGCATGCAACATATCTGTACCCATTGACAACTTAGAAAGTAATCACTTTGGTACCATCTGTGGTTTGTTGACAGCGTACAAAGATTAACATACACAAGTTAGTGCAAGTGTTTTAAACAGAAAGTGAAACTATTGAAAGAAACTAATAAGGTGGCAGAGAGCAAGGAGAGTGAGAGGAATATGTTTTAAGATGAAATATTTTTGCAAGTTTTTATACGCTTTCTTATCTCTTTAATAGTGATCAGGTTGTTCCTGCAGCACAACCACCTTCACCCATTAGCTGTGAGAAAAAAGACAACATGTTGCCTTTTGTGGGGCTGAATAATCTTGGCAACACTTGTTATCTTAACAGCATACTTCAGGTGAGTTTGTTTCAGAAACTGGAGAAGAGATCTGAATACTAGATTTATAGTGTGACCAGAGTGTATAGAGGAGGGACTCCATTATATAATGGATAAAAATGAGATTGCACCTCTCTGCACCATAGGTTGTGGATATGGTGCATCTCTAGCAACTAAGGATCACATGTGGGAAGTTTTGTAAGGATTAACTATTTTGCCCCAATCCATTTCCTCTGTGAATTGGCCATGCCAATTCTTTGATTACACTATGTTTTTTCTTTACTGGGTGGACTGGACCATGTACGTGTTCACTGGAATTTGTAAGGCTTTGGGGTTTTTTTTTCTTCCAGTCTACTGCATAGTCCTTTGCTTTACAAACTTTATCAACGTGCAGAATTAAAAAAAAAAAAAAAAAAAAAAAAAGACTATTTGATTCTGTTTGCAGTTGAAGTGCTTTCTGCAAGACTGGTAAATGCGCATCTAATTCACAAGACCCTGAAACTAAAACTAGTAATTTCATTACTCAAATTTAGTAAAGTGGAACTAATGACATAAATGAAAATGAAAAAACAATTATAAAAAAAATTTAGTTTGTTTTCCATTGTTTGTTTAAGAATTTGAAACCACAACATGTCCTGTGTCTCCAAACATGCAGCTATAGCGGAAAGCTTCACTTTGGATTTCTGAATATTTATATGCCTTTGCTAAAGCTACAGGACAAATCTAAAGTGTTAGAGGTGAGATTTTTCAAAAGTTCCCAAAGAATCAGGTGTCCAACTCCTAATGAATTTTAAACTTAGTGCGGTTGGCCACTTATTCCTTTGGAAAATATCATTCATAACACTTTAAATTTGCTCCTATGCTTTAGCAAAGAAAAACATATAAATAGTTAAGAATTTAAAAGTAAACTCTTCAAAAGTAAGAATACTTCCTAAAAAACCTGAAGTATTTAAGGCAGACAAGGTGCTTTGCATGAATCTGATATCTTTTATTAGACCAATGCAAAGAATCTTGTCTGCCTATGTCCTTAGACCAGGACGGCTGCAACCTACACCCCTGAAGTATTTAATGCAGTTATGCATTTTGGTAAATGTATGCTGAATAGCAATGAAAACCATTACTTTTGAAGGATGATGCTGGTTAAACAGTTGACTGATGTTCTTCCTTTAACTTACCTGCAGGGATGTTGGAAGGATAAATTCATGTAATCTCTCAAACATTAATGATTTACACAGATACCTGGGTAGGAGTTCCATACTGTTGTGCATCAATTTTTAATGTCACTGTTATATTAATAAAAGGTGGATAAATTGTTCTCTCCACCCTTATTTGTATACACTGGCCCATGGAAATCTGCATCCTTGTTTGTTATGCCACCTTGGGAGAAGCAGAAACACATTTTAGTTATTGACATGGCCTGGTGCAACTTCTGCTCACCTCGTATTCTTTTCTTGTTTTAAATTGTTGCTGATAGGTGTTATATTTTTGCCCTGGCTTTAAAACTGGAGTGAAACATTTATTTAATATTGTTTCAAAGAAGAAAGAAATTTTAAAGGATGAAGGAGAGCAAAAATCAGAAAAGGTGAATATACGTGCATTACTATACCTATAATTAAATATTTATTTTCTTCTAATTGTGTAAGTAACCACATGTTCCATAGGGTGAGTTGTCATCTTTTCTCTTACTGTGTGTAGTAAAGTGTTTTCTTTAACTCTTGTTGAATGAAAGAATATAGCTGAATTATTTAGATACTACCCACCAACCTTGTATCTTGAAGGTTTTATAAGCAAGGATTTTGCTTTCCTGAAAATCAAGATGTCTCATCACTCACTTTTCTCATGGTACAATAACTTAACTAGGATTCTTTTTTTAACTAGATGGAAATGTTGTTGGTAGTTTGGGGGGGTAATGGAATATCAGGTGAAAACATCTTATTGTTCATATTTATTTCTTTCAGGCAAAGGAACAATGTATTTAGTCTTAGAAGCATCTGCTTTTACCCTTCTGGCAATGATGATCAGAAAAGAGACAACAAGGAGGAACGGAAGAAAGCTCACTGTTGTGTTCAGAAGCGATAATTCAAATGTTTTCTCTTATATTTTCACAGGGAAATTGTAAAGATGATTCAAGGGCAAGTTGTGAACTGATCTGCAGTTTGCACTCCTTGATTCTTTCAGTTGAACAGCTTCAGGCCAGCTTTCTCTTAAATCCAGAAAAATACACGGATGAACTTGCTACTCAGCCAAGAAGGCTACTAAATACACTTAGGTATAAATGAAATGTCAGAAACTTTTACTGAAATTTTTGATTTATAGTTGTATATTGTGATCTCTAAAAGTTTTGTGGGTAGGTATTCTTAAATTTGAGACTTAATTTCTGGGGTTTTCCGTATTTTGTAAAAGAGGCTACATCATTTTGTAGCAGGCATTCTGCTGTGTGAGAGCAGGTATATATGGAAAAGGATATAATTCCAGTCAATTTTTCAGTAGGGCAATGAAGTAGCAAGACCAGGAGAGAATGTCTCCCTTGTTTGTGGTTCATCCTTATGGTAACAAAGTCTGAGACCAAGTCAGAGGGTATGACCCTGAAAAGGTTCTGATTACTGAGGCTCAGATCCAGCAAAGGACTTTGATAGATGCTAATTTTGTAGCCTAAAGTATTCTCATTGATTTAAGTAGGACTACTCACATTTATTGTCAAGTATTATTTAAGTGCTCTGCTGATTAGGGTCCATGAAGCCCAGCATCTTCTAAGATTGAGTCCATGAGTGGGCCCTTAAGTTTTATAACCAGGGATCCTGGCTTTCTCGTATTAAAAAAACATTGCAAATTCTCTGATTTAAAAACCCTAAAATCCATGACTAAAATTAAAGGCCCCCCTACAGCACCCTGCCCTGCTGGTGCTTCTCACTCACACCCCACCCCCTGGCTTGTGCCTCTCATTCTCCATGCCCCCAGCAGGAGGGAGCAGCTGCTGCAGCACAGCAGAGCACTGCTCCCCCCTGCTGCGGCCTCAGACAGGGGAGGGCAGCTCCCTGCTCCAGTGAACACTCCTGGGGGCAGTGGGGGGACCCATGTCACCCAGATCTGTGTGGGGGGTGGGCTGTGGCTGCAGCAGGGGTGGCGCTGTGGGGCTGCACCTGGCTGCAGCGGGGGTAGTAGTGCAGGGTTGCATGTGGCTGCAGTCCCTCAAAGCTGTCACACATAGGGGATGTGTTGCCAGGCCAGCATGGAGCTCACAGTGGCAGGCAGTTTCTGCGTGGCTCCACTGTTCCGTGCTGCAGTAGGTTGCACCCACTGGGCTGTGGAGGTGCTAGGGAAGGGCAGCAGGGCGGAAAGCCTGAGCCTGCAGCACTCCAGTCCTGTGCACAGATATGGGGGGGCACAGGTAGGGTGGCCATCATAGAGGACATCCTGGTTTTCTGCTACTCTGTCCTCTTTTGATATGAAACCTGACACCTTCATGTCTTCTATTTTTCTTCTTTCAAGAGAAAAATAGAGGACATAAAGATGTTCTGTTTTGCATTAATAGAGGACAACCAGCCTGTCCTCTGATGGCCGCCCTAGGTGCAGGTTTCCCATACCCCAAAGGGAGTGCACGTTGCAGTCGGGAGCCAGGCCTGCTGTGTTGACTTCCCATGAGCTGCCCATAGCCCCATCCCACTTTCTGCTGGGGCGCTGTAGCTGTATGTTGTGGCCTCAGCCCCCACTCTGCCTGACTCCCTCCCTTCTTCCCTATGGGGGGCTAAGTTCCCCCCCACCCCACTTACCTGCAGGAGCTGCTCTTCAGGCTGCCCGCAGCCATGTGCAGGTACATACACATGGCACCCCCTGCCTGACCACCTTCCTCCTGCTCCCTCCCAGCCCCCTGCAGAGGGCTCGTCTCAAAACTGCAAAATCTGTGGGCTGCTCCAGTAAAATAAGAAATCTGCATCTGCCTCGTAAAGGCAAAATCCGTGATTGCCATCATCTGCTTTGTAAATAGTTTTAGTTGCTCCATATTTAATTTTTTCTGGTTTTGATTCCGTTCCATGAATTTTAATACTGTGCCTAGCTTTTTGTACATTGTGGAAATAGCTGTTGTTTAATAATTGAGGTGAAGTGATAGCGTTTGAAAATATACCTTGACATTGATCGTGTGGTAGTTTTTCTATTACTATGAAGCAGTGTCTATCAGTGGATGTGGGGAATTAGGGCCCTGTGGTGAGAGTCAGGAGTAGATCCATAGTAAGATACTGGGTAAGATGGATCATCTTTTCTTGGCTTCAATTTTCTCACCTGTAAAATGTTCATAAATATTTATTGCATAACATTGAGGTTTGTATGTTTGTAACGTATCGTTATGCTCATGAATCTTTGACAACAGGAAAAATTTACCAAAATATACCTGTATCAGTTGTTTGTTTGTTTTTTAAAGCCCACTGCTATATTGTCTGTTTTTATTGTTGTTGTCCTTCTAAGATGATTACAGCTACTAAAAGTTAGCCAGTTCCTAAAAAACTTTAAATCTGTCCTTTTTGCTGAATGTTGTGTCCTCCACCCCGTTTTATGGAGTATTCCTTTTGCCAGATATAACCAAAATTCCTATACAAAAGGAATGTATAAGACTAGCTGGCCACGTGAGAGCCAGTATAATTTTATAAATCAGTACTTATCTTTTTTTTTTTTTTTTCCCTTTTATAGAGAGCTGAACCCTATGTATGAAGGGTACTTGCAACATGATGCCCAGGAAGTATTGCAGTGCATCTTAGGTAACATCCAGGAAACATGTCAGCGTTTGAAGAAGGAAGAGTTGAAAAATATGCCACTGGAAGAGTCTGTAGCACAACTGGAGGAAAAGCCTAATCAGAGTGTTGAAAGCAATGGCACGAACAGCCCTGGTGAGGATGATGACAATACGCCAAGTGCTCACATTGCAGAGGAATATGAGGACAAGCTACTCAAAGGAAATGGGAAAAGAAAAAGTGAAACTGAGGGTGGGAATGCAAAGAAAAAATCTAAAGTATCAAAGGAGCAAAATTCAGTAGAGGAAAATCAGAGACAAACCAGGTCAAAGAGGAAAGCAACAGGGGAAAAACTAGAACCCCAAACAGATGCCATTGCTAAGTGCTGTGTTGAAAATGAGACTGCAAAGCCAACCCAGAAGAAGTCACGAGTTAAAATAAACTGGTTAAAATCTTCAGGAAAACAGCCCAGCATTCTGTCCAAATTCTGCACTTTGGGAAAGTTAACAACAAACTTGGCATCCAAAGACCAGATGAAAGAAACTGATGTTGGTGGACTTAAAGAGGCATCTGTGAGGTGTGAAAATGGTAACAATATAAAAGAAGAATATTGTGAGCCTGTCTCTCTGGAAAGTGCTGGTCAAAAAGGGACTGAGAAAGCAATAAAAAGTGAAGGTTTGTAAAAATTGTGTAAGACGTAAATAGAGTGTTACTTGCCTGACTGCCAGAGGTGGGTCTGGATCCAGCCCTCGGAAAAACTCCCATGGTCTGGATCTGGCTTGTGGTGGGGCTGGACAAGTTTGCCACTGCTGGTGTACAGAATAGAGCAGTGATTCTTAGCCAGAGGACTGTTGAGTCTTCTAAGGGTGTTTTGAGGCACCTCAAAAATTAGCACTTTAGGTGTGCAAACATCTACACAATACACAAAGTAAACCCAGAGCATTTAAATAGGAATCCATATTATCAAGAATATTCTGACCTGCTGTAGTCTTGCTGAGTTCATTGCAACAGAGGAATTGCTTTACTGTTTTTCCATAGTCAAAAAATGAGTGAAAGGTAAGAGCTGGCATTCTCTGAGGGGGGGGGGCCCTGAGGCTAAAAATTTGAGAACCACGAGAATAGATTATGGAATTGCAGACTTGAAGTCAAAGATGTCAGGGTCCTGAAAAGAGAGCTATTAGCAATTTGTTTAATGCCGGCATTGACAGTATATTAGTGATTTAAAAGAAATTATTCAGGATGGGATTCAGTATTAAAGGATAAAACCAAAACCTAGTTTTAAAACAATTTGCAAAATTTGAGCAGAGCCACATTGAGACAAGGATTTTCAAGTAATGCCTTATTCAGTACTAAACAGCTATCGCATTTCTATTGATATGCAATCATACACATATTTGACTCTGAAACTATGATACCATGCATGTTGTACATAGTGACTGTCCAGGAAGAAATGCCTGTAACTGCCCTTCTTATGTTCTTGTCTGAATATAGAATTTCTTATACTAAGACAAAGAATATGTTATGTAACTTTCTTTAGGTGCAGAGCTAGCTGTTTATGAACTAGTGGAGAAACTCTTCCAGGGTCAACTGGTGTTGAGAACACGATGTTTGGAGTGTGAATGCTTTACTGAGAGAAGAGAAGACTTTCAGGACATAAGTGTGCCCGTGCAAGAAGATGAACTTTCTAAAACCGATGAGAGTTCTGAAAGTAAGTAATAAAGGGATTCAAATGTGTGTATCTGGTTCAGTACCTAGATTAGGAGGGGTAAGGAGGATTGTGTCTTTTTACCATGTAAATCTAATAATAAGGATATTGGAAGAAATGTTTTTGGTTATAAAAATACAGGCCAATGACTATAGTATCATCATGATTCTCTCTCAACAGGGAAAACAGCTCTGATAACATGGGCGACTGTAAAGTATTAAAAATTTACATGAGTTTCAGGATATATATCAAGTTGCTTGCTGTCTCTTATTCACTTGAATAAATGCTGTCAATTTGAAAATAGCATCTATATTTAGAAAAAATATATACTACCATCTATAGGTAGCAGCCAAGAGTAAAAGATTAGAGGGTTGTTTTTCTTTTTTTTCCCCTCCCACCTTGTTTATTTTGCACAGCTAACAGGACTTTATTTTATATACACAATTTCATTTCTTGTCTTGGGCCATTTAGTCCGAGCTTGCCCTTTCTCTTGCTGAGATCCTTATAAACAACAGAGGGGGAAAAAAGTGATGCGGCTGCTGAAAAATTCAGGGCACTCTGACAAAAGAAATCAGAAATTTGATTAGTTTTTGGTGGTGGTGGTGATGGACTTTGTAGTGTGTTCTCTTAAATACCTTGCATGTAAACGTTTATCTACAAATTAATGTTAGTGTCTCTTGTAAAATAGCCATACAGGACCACAGAAGTATTACTGATGTATACTTATTTTATATATAGCTAAAACACCTGATCTTGATAGATAAATGCATCAAGCTTATTTCACAGTTTTTAAAAAATTATAACTAGAGCCTTGTATGTTCTTAAAGGAAAGATAGTTTTAACTTCCACTTGCATAGTTTTAGGAAGACGTTTTTCTTAGTCTTTCTTGTTTCACAGAAGAGTAAGACAGCCAACTTGCAATTCCATTTTTAACAGAGAGAGACTGATCTTGTCTTTGACACTCTCACTGAAGCTTTTATTAAAAGGAAAACAAAACTGATTTTTAAAGTAATATGCAAAGAATAACTTGCTGGTGGAGTTTCTTTGGTTTTTGGTTGTCTTTTTTAAACCCTACTTTGTAAAATAACTTTAAATTCTGCTGTCAGATACCCATGCATAATTTCCAGATATGTCTGTTACATGTATCTGAGAACAGAATGTAATTCAGTTGATATGAACATTGTATGTTGCTTTTGTTTCAGCTTTAAATAAAACTTGTTTTCCAGTCATAAAGTAATCTATATGATAAATGGTATTTTTCTTATTTTAACATTTCCCCAAATCAGGGAAAACTGGAATAAGCAAATCCTTTTGCTTGGTCTATTTGGTGCATATTAATACTTTTTGATACGATTCTCAGAAGTGTCTTTAACTTTTGCAGTCCTGTTCTTAAAATCCTGGTGGGAGGCATTAGCATTGTAAATAAGTATGTATCTTTGAATGTCATAATTTTCTTTTGTAGTTTCTCCAGAGCCAAAAACAGAAATGAAGACCCTAAAATGGGCAATTTCACAGTTTGCATCAGTGGAGAGGATTGTGGGAGAGGATAAATATTTCTGTGAGAACTGCCATCATTACACAGAAGCAGAACGCAGCCTTCTATTTGATAAAATGCCTGAAGTAATAACAATTCATTTGAAGTGCTTTGCTGCTAGTGGCTTAGAGTGAGTATTGCAGATAAACCATATTAAGAAACAGAGGAATAGTGCTTCTCGAAGAGAAACCTTGTCAAAACAGATGCCAGTATTTAATATTTTAAATAACTGAAGACTTACTGAATTTAACTTTTTTGAAGAACTCCTTGTGAAAACAGAAAAACAAATTGTTTTTTTACTTAACTGCTTAGTGTATTTTATGTTGCGTAGTTTAGGACAGAGCTAAATGTTTTCTTAGTATGAGACTATTGTTGTTTGTAACATCCCTCAGGGAGTTGTATTTTCAGTATGTCTTACCATAATTATTATTTTCCTGTATGTCTAGAGCTTGACATTTTAAATAATTTTTAAAGCTTTTTTTGTTTGTTTACTAATAACAATTCTTGTTTACCCAGCTTTAGGGATAGGTTTTGTTTAGTTACTTCAGAGTCGGTAAGCACAGAGCACTGAACTAGGTTTGCAACCAATGACAGTAGTGCTTCAGTCACTAAATGAACAAAACACAATTTAAAGAGAAATTGGTGAAAATATACCAGTTTCTATTCATCTTACAAATGACAAGCACTGGAGCTGTAGTAGTTGAAACTACCTTTTTGAATCATGACACTAGTTCATTTATAAATCCATGGTATACCCACATTTTTGAACACTGCATGCAGTTCTGGTCCCCACATCTCAGAAAGGATGTAGTAGAATTAAAAAAGGTACAAAGAAGGGCA